CTTTTGAGACTGGGTCCCATTACAGCCATGCTTGAATAAGAATTATTCGAAACGTGGCATCAGGCATCCGGATTACGCGTCGGCTTTTTATGGCTCAGAAAATTTGATGACTTGCGCTCCAATTAGGACTCTGATATTGCTTCTATGCTGGAGTAGATACATGGAAAGATTGTAGACTCTGTTTCTATTATGCTTTATTATTGCACTTTGGCCAATTGATTTATATTATAATTGCTGTTATGCTTATTTGATTTATATTATACTTGCTGTTATGCTTAATTGATTATTATATACTTGCTTATTTGCTTGTGTGTTCATTTTTTGCCAGTGGTGTTTTCTTTTTTGCTTATTACTTTCAACCAGCATTTTTAATCATCGACGTGTTCTCTCCAGCTGTACAGAATCCATTTGCCGATTTCACCTCTACACTGAAAGATCTTCCTCAGATTAGTTGCAGAGATACTACTGAGTAAAGTCTTGTAAGTTTAACTGGCAATCTGGAAGTTTATTATATACAAAAAAGAGAGAAAGAAAAAAAATACATATGTTTAAGCCTATTTGGGACATGGAAATAGTTTCATGGCTCTTTGGACAGGGACCACAAATATTATCCTGTTTGCCCCTTAATACTTCCAGAGTCTGGAGTCATAAAATTTTTAACTGAAACTGATACCAAACAACAGTTGAAGTTCCTTTTATCCTTTGCCTCCAAGTGTCAGCTGCCACCATTCATCCTCACTGCCCCAATAGTTTTACTGCTCCTTTATGCTCGATGACCTGACCTGGAAGGCCAAGGCTAGCATGGTCTCCTCAGACCTCAGAAGCTAAGCAGGGTCGGCCCTGGTTAGTACTTGGATGGGAGACCACCAAGGAAGTCCAGGGCTGCTACGCAGAGGCAGGCAAGGGCACAACTACCTCTGAATGTCGCTTGCCTTGAAAACCCTATGAGGTCACTATAAGCCAGCTGTGACTTGACAGCATTTTCCACCACGATGTGCTCTAAAGGTGGGTCATATAGCAACAATGCTGAATCTCAGCAAATCTCACCCTTATCCAGGCCTGGATGGGAGACGTCCTGAGAATCTTGAGCTCCATAAAGAAAGAGAGACAGGGCCCCCGGTCACATGGGAGGATTTGCCCCGCAAAACGGATGGGATGAGGGCGCATCAAATGGGCATGATCATACCGCAACATCTGGGAAGCGTCACGTACCCGTCCCCGATCCGTCCCTTTGGCCCGAAAATGCGCATTGAAAAGGTTCCCGGCAACAGAGCACTGCCTTCTGGATGATGCGCGGCAACTCCAGGCATCTGATCGGGGAAGTGCTGGTAGCCCGTCGCAGCCAGCGCCATTCCCTGTCCCACGCATGCGCACAAATGCGTAACGTCCGTTTTGCCGCGCTATGTTTGATCGCCTGCCGAAGGCCGAAACACGGAGCCAAGGGGGTGTGTCAGATCACGCTACCGCGGTTCTTTTTGCTCTGGCTCTAATTTGCCTCCCTTCAGCGGCGCAATATCCCGCTTGTGTGACCAGGACCAGGACCAGGAGTTGACTGGTTGCCAAAAGGAGCTTAGTTTGGCATCACATATACTACAATGGCAGAGCACTTGCATGTCAGGCAGAACTATCAACCGTCCAGTCCCAGGTTTCTACAGGCAAATGGATCTCAGGGAGCAGACGCTGAGCAATATCTTTCTCTGACCAAAACTCTGAAGAACCGCTGCCGGTCAGAGCAGACAACTGAGCCAAATGGACCAATAGTCTGACTCAGGATAAGGCAGGCATACGAAGAGCACAAAGAAGTTGGAGAAGGGGGTGCGTAACCCCTTCCGCATAACTACTCAGTTCCAGATTGCACACCTTTCCTTTCCTTTTTCCATCTGTGAGGATCCCAATAAATCATTAATTCATTACAGTCATAGACCAGCAGAATAAATCATATATTAGCAAAATATTTACAGGAAACTACTAACTTAAAGATAAGATACATTTCATTAAATCACCACTGAAGAGAGGGGGAGAAGGAGGAAGAAGAAGTTTTACACCCCCTCTTTTCTCTACCTTAAGGAGTGTCAAAGTGGCTTATAATCTCATTCCCTTCCTCTCCCCACAACAGGCACCTTGTGAGGTAGGTGGGGGTGAGAGTGTTCTGAGAGAACTGTGGCTGGTCCAAGGTCACCCAGCAGGCTTCATGTGGAGGAGTGGGGACTCAAACCCGGTTCTTCAGATAAGAGACCACCACTCTTAACAGCAGTGTTCCCTCTAAGGTGAGTTACTGTGAGCTAGCTCACAGTTTTTTAGCCTCCGGCTCACACATTGTTGTCTTAGCTCAGGAAGGATGGCTCCAGAGCCAATTAATTTATGCAGTAGCCAAAACACTTGCTCACAATTTTAAGGTCAGTTGCTCACAAAGTAGAATTTTTGCTCACAAGACTCCACAGGCTAGAGGGAGCATTGCTTAAAAGCTACATCACGCTGGCTTTAGTGGTTGCACAGAATCTAGCAACTCTCTGTGGTCCCAGGCTCAAGGTCTGCAAGAAGAAGGGAGGTATACATTTCCTCCGATCTTCCCAGGATTTCTTTCGGAGGACGGGAGAGATGAATGCATTTTTGAGGTCATCACAGATGGGGCAGTCTAGCAGAACATGCCCAACTGTTTCACGTGAAGGTCCCAAACACATATTTGCAAACACTCCCTCGGTGGGAAAACACAGCATGGGCCCCAGTCACACAGGTTTAGGGCCGGAAGAGGGACGGATCGGAGGCGCAGCAAATGGGCGAGATCCCACCGCAACATCTGGGAAGCGTTGCGCACCTGTCCCCAATCCAGCCCTTCAGGCCGAAAATCTGTAGTTAAAAGAAACCACCTACAGAGGTGGACTTACCAGAAAGGCCGCATCAAGCATGGCCGTGGGATCACCAGCACGTCCTTCTGCCAGCGCATCCGAGCCTCCTGGCCGAACTGCACATGTGCACACATGCGCAACCGGCTGTCTCGGTCTCCGGTCGGTAGCTTCCTCCCCGGCATCTGATCGTGCCGGGGAGCAACGGCGCGGCGGCTCAGGGGATCTATGTGATCCCGCCGCCGCATGTTTCTTTAGGAGTGGCTCTGAATAGGGCGCACTTTGCCCATTTTTTTTCTGCTGTGTGGCAGGGACCATGGTTGATCAATCTGGAATGGAGAAGCGGTGAGCTCAGTGAGGTTGAGTACCTGCTCTCCCCTTCTCACAGCTGCTTCTCTATTGTTAACTGCCCCCCTTCCAATGGTACTGTCCATTTATCTACGAACCCAAACCTCCATGTTAGTTAACCCCCAACATAGTAAATAGACATATCAAACTTGGATCCCTGGTACAAATATACATGGCAGGGAAGAAGGGAAAGGAAGAGATAGATATTGGAATGAATAATGCCACGCACGACCAATTTTCACAGGCCTCTTCCTCTGCCAGATCTGAACCGGAAGCACTGACACGAACAAACCCTTTTCTCAATTATTTCAGTTCCCCACCCCTTTAAATAACCAAGTGCAAGAATTTCCCATTTCTAGCTGCCGAAGCGCCACCTTTGCTTGCCAAGAACGCTACTCAAGCTGCCAAAGTGCTTCAGAAATAGCTCTTATTTTGAATACCCCCCCCTAAATATTTAGAAAATATTAATAAAAAAAGAATCACGGGCTGAAAAAATATTAGCCTGTCTAAAAACGGTGTGCCATCTGTTCAGATAATGAACTGCAGCAACACGATTCCGCGGTGCAGACAACAGCAGATGGATCAGCACATGCTTAAGACTTTCCCCCCCAAATCACGCTCCCAAAACTGGTTTCTTAATATAACTTCTCTCAGCACATTAAAATACACTACATAATACAGTCTGAATGAAAATTAGGATCTTGTTCCTTTAAATTACAGCACAATGTTCCTGAACCTCAGAGAACATCTCTGCATATATTGAGCAGTGAAGTGAACAGGAGCACCTTCTTAGTTAAACATCTCTCTTCTTCATTAACCACCAGAACTGCAGACCATGATGGACCTTGGTAAATGGCAAGAGAAACTGACTGGGCCTTTGTGGAGGAGCACTGCCATCCCTCTTTGGACCTTGGCATCAGCAGCTTGAACAGCCAGATCATTTGCTCCTTTAAAAAGTAGCCCAAGGAAAATTTTTGACTGGTAAAAGTCGAAACACAGGGGAAAAAAACAACGTATGAAACTGTTTTGTGAAGGGGCAGAAAACTGGAAGAACGGGGTGCCAACCAACCAGCAGGCCCTTGTGGTTCTTGTTAAAGTTACCTGGCCCCGTCATCAAAAAAGCCTGCTGTCCTCTTTAGGAAGCAGTAAACATGCTCCAAGATCATCCTGGAAGCAACTCAATGGGGCTTTTAAAGCCATTTATGCCTGTGGCCATCACTATAGCCTCTGGCAGCAAATTCCACGTTGCAATCACTCTCTGTGTGTAAAGAAGTATTTCCTATTGTCCATCCTGAATCTACTGCCCATCAGCCTCATGGGATGCCCTTGAGTTCTAGTATTTTGGGAGAGGAATAAAAGGTTCTCTTTGTCCACTCTTTCTATCCTGTGCATAATTTTATAAACTTCTATCATGTCTCTGGAAACTCCCAGACCTTCACAGCCTTTCCTCATCTCCCTGTACTATACTACCTTTGAACTCTCTAAAAAAACGAAAGTCTGAAATTTGCAAAAATAGTACATGATACAGTTTTCTCTCTTCATTTCTCAAACGATGGAATGTGCACGCTTGAATCAGAAAATAGTAAGGCCTTATACCGAACACAGTGAAAGATCTAAGTACTTGAGAATGCAATTAAATTTAAGAATTCAATAATTATGTTAAGTGCTCTATTTCAAACACTTTCTTCTTGCAGACCTCTTCCTAGAAATAATTTGAATGAAAGGTCACAGGCCTGCTACAAGAGCCTATGGGGGGGGGGGGGAGATGATTCTGAAAGGATATAATTTTCCAGAGAATGTCTAGCTTGCTGTTGATCTCCAGACCTTTTGCCTGTTGTCTCTCTTCTTCCAGCTGCCTTGGATTTGTAAATTGTGCTCTTTCACCAGGCGAGTCCGGGTAGCTCTCAAAATTGAACTTGTCAACTTGAATAGCCATACTGCAGTTGAAGAAGAAGAAGAAGACAAAGAAGAACTGTTGTTGCTGGTGGTGTTATTATTATTGAAATACTATGAAAAAACAACTTGAATGTAGGGCTACCTAGCCCCTGATTGGTGCGGCAGATCTCCCACACTGACCTCTCCAGGGGAGGGGGGGGGGGTCATCGGGATCACGGGCATGATAACATCACTTCCAAGGAAAACACGGAAGTGATGGTGTTAGCTCTGGGAACTGCCATCATCATACTCACAACACTATCCCCACACATGTCCCCCCCCAACCCCCTCCCACACACACACTGGTTGCCACGGTAGGTCTGGCAACCCTGCTTCCAGGTCAAACAACACAAGTCACAACACTAAAGCATCAGTAAAACTGCAGCAATCTGACACGTCTGCATCAATAAACAGAGTTGAGCACCAATGAAGCTTCTCCCTTGCATATTTATGCATTTATTTTTATACCTGAAAAAATACCTCAGATTGGTTCACAGCAGTATTAAAAACAAGTAATAAATATAGTTAAAACAGTATAACATACAAAGAATAAAAAGCAAACAGTTTACAACTGACAGCAGTGGATCCAGGATTAAGCCCCCAAAATACACTTCCCTGGGAAAAGCCTGACAGAAAAGCTCAGTCTTACAGGCTATGTGGATGCTAGGGAGGTCCCGTTGGGCCCAGGTCTCATCTGAGAGGCATTCCACCAGGACAGGGCTACAACTGAAAAAGCCCTCACTCTGGTGGACACCAGATGTCTCACCCAAGGGCCCATCACCACCAGTAAGGCTGCAAGATGATGACTGCGGCCGCCGAGGGGGGTTGTAAAGGAAGAGGCAGTCTATGATGGACCCCCTGTTATTCACCCCACTCTGAGGCAGATTTTTCCTACCAAAAATATTAGCTCCCTTCAGGTACTGAGCTGGCCCCCAGTAGCATGATAATGTTTGCGAATTTATAAATCTAAATGTCCCACCCTGTGGCAGAATCTGATTTGTTGGCTTTTTGCCCAGCCCAGGAACTTGTCCGGAGAAAACAGGAGTCCTCTTTTGGTGTAACAAATTATTTCCCCTCTTCTGAAATCACAATGTTTCCTCTTCCCCCTGAGCAGTCTATAACTGTTTCTTTCCACAACAGATCAGGGACTACCTCAGTGCCAATTCCCTGTATCACTGGACAGGACTTATATTTCTTCCCTGAAAATATAATCCGTTTGGCCTGAATGAGAGCTTCAGCCTGCTGCCCAGTCACTCTTGGCCAAAATTTCAAACCCCAGTTCTTGGCGTCTGTGTGAAAACGTACTTCAGCTCACACTAGACTCTGAATTCTTAGATGGAATTCTCCCTCAGGTTACGTTGAACACAGCTAAGACCAGGAGTCTCTCCCATTATTCAAAAGTCTGTCTGACAGACTTTTAGTCAAACTCTTCAGACATCCACTCCTGAAGCTGAACTTTTACTTTACTGAACAGTAATGACCGCTGAACACAAAACAAACTCCCTCTCCCCTCAGCGCACAGCTAATCTTATATTTCCCTCAGCTGGCGCTGGCCAGAGAACAGGAGCAGCCTGTCACTCAAGCTCAACATTCTAGCGCAGAGTTAATTATTCACCCTCCCTTCTCTGATTTTGCTGCATTAGGAAAACAGTGTTTTAAATGTAGTCTGTCACACGGTCCCTTAGGTATGACAGTCCCAGACCATTTAGGGATTTAAAAGTCAAAACTAGCACCATGAATTTGACCTGGAAACCAATAGGCAGCCAATGTAGATGCTTCAAGAGCGGCTGTATGCATGAAGACCAAGATGTTTTGGTCAGAAGACTAGCAGCTGCACTTTGGACAACCTGAACTCTCCAAAGATCCTTCAAGGGCAGCCCTGCGTAGAGTGAATTGCAATCACCTATTCTGGAGGTAATTGTGGCATGAATCACTGTGGCCAGGTCCAGCTGAGACAGATGGGGGGCAGCTGATGGGCCTGGTGTAGATAGAAAAAAAGCCTGCCTTGCAACTGTGGACACTTGCTTGTCCAACGTAAGACAGGCATCCAGCCAGACCCCCAGACTCTTCACAGAGCCCACTAATGAGAGCTGGGCCCCATCCAAACTTGGAAGCTACCATCCCCCCACAGGTCTAGTCTTACCCGGCCACATTACTTCAGTCTTGGCTGGATGACGTTTCAACTGGCTCTCCATCAACCATTCAACCACGGCATCCAGACAAGACAGAGCCGCTTCTGGTAGTTTAACCAACAGGAGGAAGAGCTGGGTGTCATCAGCATGCTGGTGGCAACCAACCCCAAACCTCCTGACGAGCTCCTTTAGAGGGCACATACAGATGTTAAACAACACAGGGGACAGGACCAATCCCTGGGGTACCTCACAGACCAAGGGCTGCCCAGAAGAACCCCTGACCCCAAAGAATGCCCTCTGACTGCGTCCTTGGAGAAGTGAGACAAACCAGGATAAGGTCATGCCACGAATCCAAATGGAAGCAACACAGTGGACCAAAACTGAGTGGTCCGCCATATCAAATGCTGCAGAGATATCCAACAAGCTCAGAAGTGCTGAACTGCCTTGATCCAACTGCAGCTGGAGAACATCTAGAAGAGCTACAAGGGCTGTCTCTGTCCCAAAACCAGGCCTGCAGCCAGACTGGAATGAATCGAGTGCAGAAGTCTCATCCAAAAAGTTCTGAAGCTGTTCAGCAACTTCTCTCTCCAACATCTTTCCCAGGAACGGTAAATTTGACACTGGGTGGTAATTGGCTAGTTCCTTTTTTATCTAAGGAAAACCTTTTCAGCAATGGTCTAACTATAGCCTCCTCTAAGGAACTGGGGAAACAACCCCAAGAGAGAAACAAATTTAATGATCTCTCTCAGTATATATTTACATATATATACATATATATGTATACAAATATAGACATATGTATTTACATATACATTTACATATATATACATATACCATTTATATATATTATAGATGTGGAGAAGGGGAGGTTAAGAAGGGGAAAAAATGGGAAACAGTTTCAGGCTTTTCACTTTAAGAACATAAACATATTAAATTTTTATTAGCTTCTGCACAGACATAGTAAACAGTACAATACATAGTAAGCATACATTTACAAAACCTAAATCTTAATGAGTCAGGCAGATTATAAATAATATATACCATATCTCACCTAAATTCAGTGAGATAAGCAGCCTATAAACAACTCATTCGTAGAAAGGGGGAGAATCTAAACTCAGTCCATTATTTCCATTTTTACTGATTCTTTTGGTTTAACTTTATTCCTGTATTCAATGAAGGAGGACCAAACATTTAAGAATTTTATACTGTGATTGTCTTTCTCCTTCCTTTCTTATGCATATAAATTTTCCCATTAACACTGAATATCACACTTTCCTTAACTATTTATCTACCTTGTGTGCTTTTTCTTCCTTCCACGCTTGCACAATTAACACTACGGCAGAAGATAACAAAGTACATATCAAATAAATCTTATTAATGGAAACTCCGTTTGGCATAATATACAAAAGTGCTGTACCAGGATCCAATTGTAATTTTATATGAGTAATTTCTCTTAAATACTTTGTTCCAAAAGATCTTTCTAATTAGGCATTGCCACCAAATATGAATAAAAGACCCTATGAGCCTGTGTGAAGAAATGCATTTTTTCTTTGATGGTCTGAAATTAGCAAAACCTTCACTCTCTCTCTCTCTGGGCAGAAAACAGGCAGGAATGGGGGGACGTCAGTTCAATTGCTTTCCAGACGTACCTCATCCCACCTTCATGCAAATGCTAATAGATGTAGCAGAAGAGATAGCGGGTGTGTCAAGCTCTCCTCCTTCTCCAAAAGGAGAACAGAGATCTGTAGGACTTTAGACTAGAAAGGCTCCAGGAATAATCTCCAGGAAGAAGCTGCAGGGAACACTTCTCTGACCTGGTCTGACCTGGTCAGTAGATGGGGAAAAGAGAGGCAATAAAACTCAGGGGAGCAAGGAGGAAGGTATTTTTCATGTTGAGCCCATCAGGGCAGACAGAACTCTTAACTGACCATGTGCTGTCATGGAGATAACCAAGGTAATGGTTACTCGTGGAGATTTGCAACTCCCTAAGATTTAGGTGTCTGTCCTATATTTTAACAACTGATAGGGCTTTTCATGTTGAGCCCATCAGGGCAGACAAAACTCTTAACTGACCATGTGCTGTCGTGGAGATAACCAAGGTAATGGTTACTCGGTGGAGATTTGCAACTCCCTAAATTTAGGAGTCTGTCCTATATTTTAACAACTGATAGGGCATATATAGAGGGAGGGACAGTGTTTTACCCATTCTGAATCCCTCACTGTGCTAAAAGTATGCTTACGAACATTTTCTTTTTAATAAATACTTTATAACTTTTGATGCTGGTAGTGCTTCTCTGTGCCACACAGACCTCCACCAGCTTGGACATACTATTTTAAACAGACCACCGGGGGAAGGCAGGCAGTTGAAAAGAGGCTATTCCTCCAAGGCAGTAAACTGTCCCTGTGGTGACCAGGTGCTGGTCAGTGAGAGACACAGAGGCAAGGCCTCAGATCTTGGAAGGAGAGCTAGGAATCCTGACCCTCCCAGCAGGCAATTCCTTACAAAGGTCAGGTGGTGGCAGCGGGTTACCTGAGAGAGAAAGAAAAGCCTTTCCAGGTGTTGGGAAAACGTTGAAGGGCAGGGTAGAATAGGGCCTGCAGGCCACAGCAGGCCTATTTCACCACCACATTTTACATCTCCAACATAAATTTCTTATAGAGGGTGTTATTTTCCTTGATCTATTGGGCATCATGTACCAGTGATACGTAAGTTAGGAATATTCTCCCACACTGCAATATTCACTGAATTTTTATACCCTTATGTAGATTAATCCACTTAACAGATCCAATTTTCAGCATATAACAGAGCCACTTGACAGCACGTAATGGACACACGCCTCTAGCAATCTTTCCTGCTTAGTATTTTTGTA